CTGAACCAGTGAGATTTAAACCAGTGGTAAGTAATATGTATGAGAATAGGGACAATACTTGATAAGGCAAGTGTAGTGAGGATTATTTATGTCAAATGAAAGACAAAGGGGTTGCCTTTTATATAATATTTTCTTCAGGGGCTCAGGTAATCCGCTGTACTGAATGAGGCTCAGAGTGTCAACAAGAACAGATAATAACCCCCACTGGACGGTCACCGAGGGAACAGAAACTCCAGAGCATTCAAGGGGATTTGCAAAATCTGATCTATTCCACTGTTGTGTTTCCTGTCTAGAGAGCGCAGATATAATGTTATCTGTTTTGATTATTTACATATTTATATAAAACTATGCTTTTTTGCAGGTTTTTGACTTGCAACGATGGGAAAATGCTGCAAATGCAATGGGAGACTACTATGCATGTGCTTGCTGCCATGTATGATGACTGGACACCTTGTGATTTACATCATGGTGACCATATTTGTCACCATTTCTTACGCTCCTCCAAAAGTAATCATTCACTACGTTGCTTCAGGGATTTCAGCCAATTCTTCCACCCTGGCCTCACACCCACTTGGTCCTTTCTGGAACCTTCGCCTGGAGGACAGTGCACTGTGGAACCAGTTGCAGCACAGCTGGGACCGTCAGCACAATCCAATATTAAGAGGAAACCTAACGAGGATGCAGAGAAGCCCAAAAGGTCGGCCTTTCACTGAAAATGAGGATAATTGTCTATCAGACTGTATGTCACAGAAGTGTTCAGTTCCTCGCGTGAATGACTTCAACAACATGCCAGAGCAAATTAGAGCATTTATCAAGTCTATGCACTGCAGGAATTACCCTCTTCTTATCAACCAGCCTCATATGTGTCAGAGGAACAATGATACCACTGGGGTGGGATCTCCAATCCTCCTCATTGCTATCAAATCACAAGTGGGAAACTTTGAAAATCGACAGGCTATACGTGAAACATGGGGACACAGTGGTCTGGTAAGGGGGGAGTTCAATACAAAAGGCGGATTAGTGCGCACGGTTTTCCTGCTTGGAAGGCAAGACTCGAGTACAGGTCCTTACCCAGACCTGAAGAACCTTCTGGAACTTGAGAACAAAAAGTATGGAGATATTCTGCAGTGGGATTTCAAGGATGCGTTCTTCAATTTGACCTTGAAGGACTTGCTGCTGTGGAGATGGTTCAAGCAGTACTGTCCTACCGCTGCTTTTGTCTTCAAAGGGGATGATGATGTTTTTGTTCGGACAGATGCTCTTCTGAGTTATCTGCATAAAAAAATGGAGGAACACAAGCTTTGGAGTATCTATACTAATAAAACAGACTTAACTTTGTTTGTCGGCGATGTGATCAGCAACGCAATGCCGAACCGTGAGCCATCTATGAAATACTACATACCGGAAAGTTTTTACAAAGGTGCGTACCCACCATATGCTGGTGGAGGAGGGGTGGTTTATTCAGGCTCACTTGCCTTGCGTTTACAGGAGGTGTCTGAAAGGGTTCGCCTTTTCCCTATTGATGATGTCTACCTTGGGATGTGCCTAAACAGACTTGGGCTTTCTCCAATCCACCACCCAGGTTTCTTAACATTTGATCTCCCCGCTACAGACAGAAACAATCCTTGTGCGTACAAATCTGTTCTACTCGTTCACAGACGGAATCCAAAGGAAATGCTGACCCTCTGGAAACAGCTCCAGAACCTGCCTGCTCAATGCTGAGTCTTATTTGCTAAGCAAATAAGATTTAGTACGTACCAGACGACTGCGGCCACTACACTAATTTGAAAAAAATTACACACTGTGACCAGGAGGCAGTGAATGGTAAGGTCACCTTTAATCAACATTTCCTGTGGAGAATTACGCAACTCCCAGGAGGAGATTGATCTACCTCAGAAGGTACTTTATTACAGGAATTTTACAGAGCAATAACACACCTCAAACTCTTGTTTTGTCATTGCGTGTACAAATGTACCCTATTTTATCTAAAAACATTTCTCCACAATTTTAGAAAGATAAAGATTTATAAATGGATAGACTGAAGTATGCTTTATGTGCAAATAAAATTGTTTAAATATGCATTGCTAATGGAAAGTTTGTGTGCTGTCCTGTTAATTTTGAGCCGCTGAGGATGCATCAGAATCATTGTGCACTGTCAACATGCTTTATAAGTTTAATAAGATTCAAAATACAAGAATTGAATTCACAAATTTTAATTTAGTATTATTTTTAATCTTCAATGTGAATGTTTTCTCAGTGAGTTGTAAAGAAACAATACACATGATGTCATCAAACCATGATACACCCATTGTTGTCAGAATTAGAAGAGGTTATAGATTTGTGAGTTTGATCTGGTGCATAGTCCACAAAGCTTCATCTGACATGGGGCCTTTAGGAGGTTCAATCTTATGAATCCTTGTGTTATTGAACATCCATATGTGTCCATGTTTCAAATACATTGGAAACCTTTAAATGGTTAACATAAGCGTAGAGGAAGAGATAGTTTGTTCAAGGACAACCAGGTACGATTAAGTCTCAAGGCTGTCTCACCATAGACTAAGAGGTTGCTGAAGGCAACCTGACTGATTTTCATTTTGTTTTTTTTGTTTTGAATGATAATGACAAGAAGAAGGTTTGGAGGAGCTTTCAAAGCTTTCAAATCTCTTAACCAGGTGGAGGCAGTACCATGATGTGGGCTATTTCAATTCAGTGTGTAAAGATGATTTACAAAAAGACCCCAAGTTGAGGTTGAAGTTTTCTCAGGAGAACGGTAACAAGATTTGATTCTGTCAGTGCAGACAGTGGATAGAGAAGTAGGTGATAATGGGGGAAAGAAAAACAAAGGAGAAATTGGGCGTTGTATGCATATGTTGCAATGGAATGGTTTGATTTTATCTTGGGACACTAAATATTTTCAATAAATCATTTCTTATATTGTGATTTTAAGATGGTGCATATCTGCACTATTCTCTCATCTTCTATCCATGATACTATGGCTAGACATAGTTGTCTAGCCATAGCTATTGATCGATGCACTAATATGCAGACAGTGGGTTTGGAGTAATGCACTCACAAGACATAAGTCCATCTGATGACCACAGGAGAACGATTACTAAGCTGATAACCACTTCCGAGAAAACATTCAGAAGCAAGAAGCTTTGAACACGTTCAGGGCAGTCTTAATTATTTGTATCATCTGAAATGCATTTTGTTTTTTGCAGCTGAAAACCTAGCTGCTGTTCAGAGGTTGTTTAAATCTAATATGGAGTTTGAATTATGCTCTGGCAAGTCTGGCAAAAACTAAAAATTTAAATAAAAAATAAAAAAATCTTGAAAACACAGCAATGATGATATCAGTTTCACTTTCTACAGTATCAGCACCACCTATCGAAGAAAGAGGATGTTACAGTTTGAATTCCGTCCTTTTATAATGGTGACAATACAGAAATACAAAAGTCTCAAGAAAAAAAAAAAGACCAATCATAGATCCAGTCATGTACTTGGAATATCCAAGCATGAATAGTGTCATGATTTCTGATTGAGGTGGTGAGGTGGACCCTGATGACCCAGGCTGGAGAGAATAAAAGATGTCTTTAATGGTAAAGCAATCCAAAGATTCAGCAATCCAGGCAGGACAGATGAACCGTCTCAACAAAGCTCAGAGCTGGCAGCAGCTGGAAAACCACTGAACCAAAACAACAGACTCGACAGCAGACAACAGGCTAAACAAGACGAGGAACAAGGACCACAGGTGGGATTAAATACACAGGGAAATAATCAGGGGAAACAAGCAACAGGTGTAAGTAACCAAAGGGTAGAAGGGACAACACAAAGAGTCAACAGAACACAAATCCAAATAAACACACAGAAAAACTCAAATTCTTACACATACGGAGTACATTCAGGCATATACCATTGTGAAATAAACACTCAGGACATTTGTTACTGCAAGGCAACAAAGGTCCGGTCAGCCTCGGAGCAATGTTATGTAAATAAAAATGTAAAGCAGCTGGAGTGTTCCATATATGTTCATGGAAAATCTGAGGCATATAAAGGAAATAATGACAATGAAACTACATGATTGTCATAGGTCAAAGCTACATTATTTGCATTTACCTGCACTGTAAGAGGTCCTTCAACTTAATATTGAAAAACATAAACAAGTAAATAAAAAGTTATGGGAAGGAATGTTAGGCTTGATGTTGGTTAATCATTGGTAAATTTAGGTTTTTGGCTATAACTGACAACTGAAACACAAACAATGAATCCATATATTTTGAAATGATTATATTTAACTAGATTGAAATGAAGGAGATTAATGATCATGAAATTGTATCAGCAAATAGAAAAATAGAAAGACATCTAACGTTTAATAAGTTGTATTTATTTAATTAAATGACTACCATCAAACATTAACAGTTGTGCAAAATTGACTTTTGACTTCAAAAAAGATTGTATAAAAGAATAACAATTTTTAATAAAATATAGATTTTCAAAATAAGCACAACTTGGCACATAAAATAGTTAATGATCATGAAAAAAGTCTGATGTGCCCATCATACTAAAACTATCATACGCAAAGAGATTATATCAAGAAACACAAAAGGTAAAAGAAAAATTACCTCATGTGAAACTGCTTCACTAAGTTTAGCTCTGTGGTAATTACGAGAAAATTCCTGGGGAATCTGGAAGTGCCTCCAGTTAAGAATATAATTGATGCAATTAACATTATGTTTTACAATTGTTGAAAAAAATTAGCAAAAACATATATTACAGAATAAACTAAAGAAGTAGTTCATATTAATAGTGATATATTTTAAGAAGAGATAAACAAAACATATAAATTCGAAACAAATTATTGTTGTGATCAGAAATGTCACAGACAAGATAGATTATGTGAAAGAGCTCCACCCAGTGGAATTCTGTAGTAATTACCAGAAACGTCCGGAAGCCTCTGGAGCGCCTCCGGCTAGAATATAAAGCTGGGACAGCCCCACTGACTGACAGAAAGATACACAAGAAACACAGGAGTGAAGAGACGCCTGAACAACAAGAAGACTCAAGACTAAACAGAAGAAAGATGCTGTGCTCTCATGGATTCCCGTCTGCCATCCGTCCATTCATGGACTTCTCCTGGCCTGTACGCAGTCTGTGGCCAGAGGTCAGACCTCTGCTCTACCAACAGCATGTCATGCAGAGAGACCTACAGGAGCTGCGCAGCAGTCTGCAGCTGATGGACAAACTTCAACGCCAGATCCTGGAGGACACAGAGCCTTTCAGGAGCAGCGTGGCTCTGCAGCCCGTCTCTTATCAGCTGGACAAAGAGGGAGAGCACTTTGGCCTAACGCTGGACACTCAGGGCTTTTCTCCAGAAGATCTGTCAGTCCGGCAGGTGGGCAGGAAGCTGAGAGTCAGCGGGAAGACGGAGAAGAAACAAGAGGACGGGAAAGGCTCCTACTCTTACAGCCTGCAGGAGTTCAGACAGGAGTTTGATCTGCCTGAAGGGGTGAACCATGAAGACGTCCGCTGCCACCTTTCTCCAGATGGAAAGCTCCACATCCAGGCAGCCAAAGTTCCTTGTATCGAGGGGACGGAGAGAGAGCTGACTATCAAGAGGAGCTCAGAGGAGGAACCACAGCAGAGTGTGTGTTCACAGGCAGAAGACAGCAGAGCAGAGACTCAGAACAGATCCTAGAACAAACCTGAAAACATGGACGCACATACATGTTGCTGTACCAATGGGAAGATTTTACATTTCTTTGGTGATAGTCTTGTGTGGATTAATGGTCAGTTTTTAGGTTATTGGTTTTGTACAAAGAAACATTTGTAAAATAAAAAAAATGTAAAAATTTTTTGATTCAGACAGGAGTTTGATCTGCCTAAATATTGTTTACAATATTTAGCCTTTATGAGAATACATAAGAACACATTTGAAAATAACATGAAACATGTTTGAAATATTAGTATCAATAAATTAAAGCATGTATTCGATGTTGCATAGACTTGAAAATAAAATTTGAAATTTGATGACAAATGAGTGTGCATATTTCCATTTACAATCTGAGAACTTTAAGTTAAAAAGAAATCCACGTTTTACATTTTTAAAATTTTGTTTTTTTAAAGATGAACACCACCAGTACAATACCACAACTTTCTAAATTTAAAATGAGGAATAAACAAATATTGTCATCAGAATTTTGAATATAACTGAAACAAACATGATCTATGAAATTACATGAAAGTGTAAAAATATGTTAATTAAATATGAACAAAACAAAACAAGAACATCTTCCATGCTTAAAATCACATTAATAACATAATAACTAGCATCTTTCAGTGAAAATATTGTACTAGTCATCATAACTAATTAGTTTAATATATTTCTTTTACATTTTTAATAAATCTTTTACAGATTTATAACAAATATACACAATGAGCTTATTAAATAATTTATAACAAATATTTCTCAAAAAAATATTGCATGACAGGATGCCTGGAGTTTATTAATGTTCTTTAACATAGCAAGAAATAAGATTTTGTTGTTTGAGAAGTACTTGTCTTTTTGTTTTTATTTAATTATTATTGTTTTTACTTTAACCAGTTAATATAATTTTGCAAGAATTTCAAGTGTACATTTTAACATTTCAGATGTAATTATTCTACAGCTGTTGTTCATTTCAATCAATTAAGCTTAAAAGACAATTTTTTATTTCAGTCTATGTTCACTTTATATGTAATTTGTTCTGCTATTTTATTGCTGAGATGCAGATTTTAATTAGCAAAAAAATAATATTAATATTCCCAGTGTGTCGATGAAAAATTTACACAAAGTACTAAATAAACAACAATAAAATGCAAAAGTGTTTCACCAAACACTTAGAAAACATTTTATTTATTAATGCATATATTTTCTAAATGATCGAATGTTATTTCTGTTACAGTATACTAAGACAAAGTGCACCAACAGAACCACTAACTGTCTATTATTCTTTAATTTTCCAAAACTCTCTGTTTACAAATACAGTAATGTACAAAAACAACATTAATCCACACAAGACTATTATCAAAGTAATGTAAAATCTTCCCATTGGTACAGCAACATGTATGTGCGTCCATGTTTTCAGGTTTGTTCTAGGATCTGTTCTGAGTCTCTGCTCTGCTGTCTTCTGCCTGTGAACACACACTCTGCTGTGGTTCCTCCTCTGAGCTCCTCTTGATAGTCAGCTCTCTCTCCGTCCCCTCGATACAAGGAACTCTGGCTGCCTGGATGTGGAGCTTTCCATCTGGAGAAAGGTGGCAGCGGACATCTTCATGGTTCACCCCTTCAGGCAGATCAAACTCCTGTCTGAACTCCTGCAGGCTGTAAGAGTAGGAGCCTTTCCCGTCCTCTTGTTTCTTCTCCGTCTTCCCGCTGACTCTCAGCTTCCTGCCCACCTGCCGGACTGACAGATCTTCTGGAGAAAAGCCCTGAGTGTCCAGCGTTAGGCCAAAGTGCTCTCCCTCTTTGTCCAGCTGGTAAGAGACGGGCTGCAGAGCCACGCTGCTCCTGAAAGGCTCTGTGTCCTCCAGGATCTGGCGTTGAAGTTTGTCCATCAGCTGCAGACTGCTGCGCAGCTCCTGTAGGTCTCTCTGCATGACATGCTGCTGGTAGAGCAGAGGTCTGACCTCGGCCACAGACTGCGTACAGGCAGGAGAAGTCCATGAATGGACGGATGGCAGACGGGAATCCATGAGAGCACAGCATCTTTCTTCTGTTTAGTCTTGAGTTTCTTGTTGTTCAGGCGTCTCTTCACTCCTGTGTTTCTTGTGTATCTTTCTGTCAGTCAGTGGGGCTGTCCCAGCTTTATATTCTAGCAGGAGGCGCTCCAGAGGCTTCCGGAAGTTTCTGGTAATTACTACAGAATTCCACTGGGTGGCGCTAATTTACCACATTTTTCACATCTCCCTACTGTCGCTTTTTGCAGCTATCATCTCTTTAATCGTGTTTACTTTAGTAAGCTTAGAGCAATAACAAAAGTTCCACAGCATTTGAACCTGTTAATGAAGTATTACGCTTTCAATTATGAAAGCATAGTTTTTGTATTAGAAATTTCTGAATATAAACACATTGTGCTGTAAAAATCATATATTCAGCAAATTATTTCTTTATCAGTGTCGTTTTAAATTTCAATCTGTAGTTTTTGTGGTCCTGCACAGAAAGATAGGAGTCCTTTTCGGTGCAGTTTTACCAAAAAACAGATTTGTATCTTAATCTACACAATATAGGCTATAGTCCAATGTCTTCATAACATTTTCTAAGTTTAATGTTGATTCTCATGCAAGCATGAAGTCCTTTTCGTTGTTGTATGAACCCAAAACAAATGTCATATTTCATATGTCATACAAATAAAATATTTTTTTTGTCATTGACTGAAAACTTACTAAACACGATGAAGTGAGTGATCGTTTAAAAATATCCGAACAAGAAACACATAATATATTAGGTAAAGTAGCTCCACCCAGTGGAATTCTGTAGAAATTACCAGAAACTTCCGGAAACCTCTGGAGCGCCTCCTGCTAGAATATAAAGCTGGGACAGCCCCACTGACTGACAGAAAGATACACAAGAAACACAGGAGCGAAGAGACGCCTGAACAACAAGAAAACTCAAGACTAAACAGAAGAAAGATGCTGTGCTCTCATGGATTCCCGTCTGCCATCCGTCCATTCATGGACTTCTCCTGGCCTGTACGCAGTCTGTGGCCAGAGGTCAGACCTCTGTTCTACCAGCAGCATGAATGTAAGTTGTGCAGTTATACATATTGAGTAATTTGTCTTTACAATTTTTTTTTTACTGTCATAATGTGGAACTGCAATATTTTATAAGAATTTGAAATACAAGGCAAAACAATTCAAATGTAACATACAGGATTAAATGTCATAAGTTGTGCATAAGTTCTTGAATTAAATATGAAATGTATTATGTATTAAATGTGCACAAAATGTTTTATTAAATTGAAAGAAATTAGAAATTTTTAAAAGTTTGTTCAATTCTTAAATTAAGAAAATAATAAATCAAGGCACAAAATAATGAAATTAGAGTTCTTTACCTGCCCAGAAACTTATAACAAGATCTTTAAATATGAAAGTATTATTCACATGTATTACTAAGCCTCTGAAAGTTAATGATGATAAACCAAAATGTACCCTAACACAAGATATTAAATATTGAGTGATGAAATATATATGTGAGAGATTTAAGAGATCATAAACATTGAGTCTTGCCTTGGGGGTTCTAAATAATATCTATATTTCAATGATTGTGTAACTTCAGCAAAGGCAACATCTAAATATTATATATTTAGATGATAATTGAATGTTCAAACATTGTAGTTAGCACAGATTTCCACTAGATGGCAGCATTTTCCTCCCAAACAATTCGGTGTGAAACCTTTCTATTCTTAGGTCTTTTTAGGGAAGTGCAGCATTTTCCAACTAGATAACAACCAAGCGTTGGAGTCATTTACTGACCCCTCATTCTAGACTAATTTACATGAGACATTGCAAACCTAATTCTTGGGCATACATTAATTCCTCCTCTTTTGTAATATCCAATCCTCCCATGTGAACATGGGAGGATTGGATATTATTAAAAAGACCTAATGAAAAAAATCTGAGTGGTGCTAAAAGGATAACAGGGATAAATCAATTTTGATATATTGATGTATCCCTGTCAAATTACCATTTTAATAGTCAAATGACCATTTTTTTTCTAAACGATTACACTGTTCACATGGTATTAACAGTGCAAAACCTCTTACCTACCCACATTAATGCAACAAGAACAGATGTGGGGGATTGCGCCGAGAAGTGGGGCAAAGAAATCAGCGAGCTTTAAAAACCCACAGCCTTCGTTTCAACATATTCTATCTCTGAAGAACATACGGAGGGATGATGAAACCTGGCAAGCACTGTGCTTTGCTGCTCTGGGATATTGTGTCAAGGCTGATGTCAATATTTTTGACACATAAAGAGAATATACGAGTTTTTGGAAGGGGGGGAAAGAGATACTTTTTCTGTGCCAGGCGTTCACCTTTGGATGAACTCCACGAAGTAGAGTCTGGGTAGAAGTTAGGAGGGAGGAGGAGCAGAAGAATGAAAGGTAACAAAAATAGAGGTTGGATGAGGAGGAGGATGAGGAGGAGACGGCAAGGCTCAGCTCCAAGTAAATCATCTGCATTGTTCTCCTAATGCAGCTTGTACACACGCGCACACACACACACACACACACACACACACACATGCACGCACACACACACACGCAATCCTGAAAATGCCAGGACAGCATCAAACACGTATACGCACAAAGAGAATCTCAGGCACTTCCTTGTTCCTGTCTTAGGTTGTCCCATGTGGAGAAGGTTTTTAATGCGCCATAATCTCCCTCTTTCCCTTGAACACATAAAAGAGATATCCTTCTATCTGTTTAAGTGTTTTTGACGGCCACCAGCTCAACATAAATACACACGCGCGCACACACACACACGCATGGGGCTCCAGCTCATCAACATGCAGTTATTCCTTTGGTGCTGGATCGCGCTGTTAATTGGCTGCAAAGCAGAATGTGTTGAATTCTGCTTGTGTGTGTGTGTGTGTGTGCGTGCACGTGTGTGTGTGTCTGTACTGCAGAGCCAGAGCTGCTTAGGAATTCCCGTCACGTCTCGGAGCCTCGATTAAGACGTTGCTCTAGTTTCAAACAGACAGACATGTGGGGAGGAGGGAAAGAGAGGAAGTGATGGAGAGAGGATACAGCAGGGGGTAGAAAGATGAGAGAGGGGCAGAGGAGAGGGAAGAGAGGAAGAGTACGAGAGGTGATGAGACGGGACTCGGCAAGGGATGAAAAAAAAAAGGAGAAAAACAGAGGAGGAGGTGAA